GCACTGGCTCTCTCCGAGTCAGCCTGCACAGTCACTTGTTGACAGGCTGGCTTTACGTTCGTATTCAAATCAACGGCATCAATCTGCTCTCTTTCACTCCCCAGAGATGAAAGCTAACTCAATGCTGAAAGGAGACAGATACCTTCCCTCCCCTGCGCGGACTTGTAATGTTGAAGGTCTCATTGAAAAAAGTGACTTTTGTTCTCATTCAAATCCATTTGTTTTAGCTGGTAATTGAAATCTGAGATGCCCAAGAGACCAACAGAAAGCCTAATTTAGGATGACAAAGCATGTTGGATCCTTGTTTTTATTTTTTGTTTTTTTTTTTTTTGTTGCTGTCTTGTGCCCAAAGTGGGCGTTTTGTGAATATTATTTTTAAAGATTAAACTAAATTGTGCAGTGATTAATCGATTACCAATCAATTTGTTCAAAAGGTGGACAGTTTCTGAAAAATGAAGTCTCTTACAAATTAGCTGACGTAAGCTTCATGTGTCACCCCCCTCCCAACGAAAAAAAAAATATTGCTAAGTATTAGCAGTAATACTCCCAAATATGTTGAACACTTTTTAAATGTATTTAAACGCACTAAAGTTTCAAGCTTAAAAGCATCTGTTCCCATGCTCTCGCTTTCATCAAATGGGAGACTTGCGCATAATATCACTTGGAGGAAACAAAAATTAGACTCGCTTGCATGGTTCTTCACGTAAGAGACCTAGAGTGCTTGCTTCAAGTTGTTTGTCACCCCCAAGTCAAAGTTTACTGTGTACCAGACACTGAAATCAAAGGAAGGTTAAGCATTGTATATTAAAACCACCCAGTGTAAAAAAATAATGAAAAGCTTAATATATTAATGCTAATAAATAAAAACCCCATCGATGGGCTAATGGCAATTAGCATTGATTTTTATTTTCCATTGTTCCTACTTATGTCTTAATGCAAACATAGCAACGAGTGATTTCGCAAGCAGATATGCGGTTTCGTAGCCGTCGTATTTGATCATACTCTGACGACATGATTAGGTTGTCTTCTTTTTCTCCCCCGCTTCCCTTGATTTTAGGAGGTGGTATTCAAACTCTGAACTTGGGGATCTTTGTTTATAGATAGGAGCACATAAAAGGCTTCTTATACTTCTCGTCCTCTTCCCCTCCTCTTTTGTACTCATTTAGCTTTGCCTTCGCTTTCTTTCTGGCTTCAGTTAGGGTGATGTGGGGGGGGGGGGACTTTGGCCATTAATAAAAATAAGTAGAGATTGGGTGGGTGTGAGGGGATGGGTGGGGTGGGCGTGCTTGTCAGGCACAGTCAAGTGTAATCCAAAGTCTACAGCATCCTCTTGGACAACTATTTTAATGGAAATGGGGAACATATTGTATCAAGGCTACCATATCCTACTTGAGATGACAGTATCAAAAGTGGGAGTTGATACTATGGTAACAAAGCAGCTTTTTGCCAGCGAGAGAGCAGAGAGACTGTCAGCGGGCAGGGGCCGGCGAGCGAGCGAGTACACGGCAAGGCGAGAGCAAAAAAAAAAAAAAAACCCCGTCACCCCAACTCTTTTGTTCCCAGCCTCGTCTTTCACCATTTCGGAGCATGATGCAACGAGATGGTATTATGAAGCCGTTTTTAATGCCATTATTGTGAAAGGAGGTGGGGAGGGTGGATAAGGGGTTGCGGGAGAGGGCGAGCTTTAGGATGCACGCTCTCCAACTTGACTTGATCTATCCTGCTAAAAGCTAATGCGTGGTGGTCTTGAACTCTTCTCTCAGGAGATGAGTGATCTTTGTCCGAGGCTGTTTTTAAAGGCTTCTGCCACTTTCAATGAAGCCAAGATATTGCGTCTCACACATTACGCCTTCCTCTCTTCCTATGGAGCACAGATTGCCCTGGATGCTCATCATGAAAGGTGAAGCTCGGCAGCCCGTTTTCAAGAGGGGGTAGCTTCATGCTGTCGTCTCGTTTCGATTTCTGCTTTTATTATGCCCGGCGATTCCCTCACGTTCATATTGATTAGCATCCTGAGTACGGTGAATCCAAAAAGTTCGGACAATGGCTTCCAGAGAAAATGTCTTCTGAAAATAATGGCCTTTTTTCTGGAATGTTTTTGCCTAATATCGCCTATTGAAAATCTGGCCCCAAAAAAAGGCGATTTTAAATGGTGGAATAGCAGTGTGGGTCAAAGTGTGCCTTTTTTGACAATCAATGAAACGCAATCACCTTTCCGGGTGAAAGCTGCTCCCGTGTGTCAAAGTCTGCACAAGAGCCAGTAAGTCAAAGCCGACGAGAGAACAGAGGCTGAAGAAACCCGATCTTTGACTCTGAGGGCTCTCACGCATCGCCTTCCTTTTGGGTGAGCGAGACCTCTCACTTTTCACTTTTGTCGTTTGCGTCCTCCCCCTCCCGTCCTGCCCGAGCAATCTCTTAATCACAGGGTTTGAGGGTGCAAAAAGGATTTCAAGGCCAGGTGACTTTCTTTTCTCCAAACTGCATCGCTCGCTTTCGTAGTCTTCGGACCGTGTGCGCGTCCAAACCGTCCTCGAAGGCACCACCCGATGAAAAATGTAACCGGCCAAACCTTGACGCAACACCTCACACACAACCGTACTTCACGCCAAGAAGTATGTTCGCAGATTTGCGCTCAGCTAAGTGCTTTCCGGTGTGCCCGTGATGGGATTAAGCGTCGCGGCGGTGGCAGATTACCTGTAACTGTGATCTGTTGTGCTGAGGATTAACTTTGCGGCGCTCCTCGCTGTGAGGTAACATTACGCAGCAGGGACAGACGAGTGGAGTTAATGCCATAGTAGTGGGGCAATAAAGCTAAACTAATCCACTTCTCCTGTGACCTGAGAGAGTGGAGGAGTGAAGAAGGTGGGGGGGGGGTTGCCTCATTGACAACTTCACCTGGGAAGAACCTGAAGGGAGAACACGTTTTCGCCAAGCGGGTCCGTTTGGCTTGTTTTTTTTTTTTCCGTCTGTGGGGACTTTATAGCACGGTTGTATTCACAAGAGGATTATGAGTTCAAATCGCAACTCGAGCCTTGCAGACTAACGTCGGGTTTGCGTTTTCTCACTTGTGCTGCCACGGCCCTTCTGCAGTCCAAATCTGCGCTTGTCGGGTCAATTGAAACATTTAAAGACACATGAGAGATGCCTGTGTTTTTTCCACCCCCTCCCCCCTGTTGAAACGCCACAAAGAGTCTCAAAGGCTGAAAATCAGACGCATTATGAAAGAGCAAAAGGAATAAAACCTTGATTACCAAGTACACACACACACACACACACACTTTTTTTTTTTGCGTGGCCATTTACTCAGCCTTGTAGTTAACTCCCATCCCCTTTCCAGCACACCGTTGTCGACGTCTGCCTATTGAACAGTCCGCTGTTCATACCTGAACTTATGCCGCGCCGACTTGCTCGATTGCTTTGCCATTGTGCCGCTTCGGTAAATTCTGACCTTCTGGGAAGCGCGGCCCCACTATTGAGAAAAAAAAAAAATAATAATAATCCTCGTTCGTTCAGCCCCTCCTCGTTCGTACATTGTCATTGGGATGGCCATATGCTGTCAGGGCGAGTGAATAGGTTTTGGGGATTGTAGTACAATTTGCTGTTTGTGCCTGTGTTCTCTGTCAATGTCGAAACATCTCCCCTCTTTCAAACCAGAGCGCTGCTCTCAAGTGACCATCAACGGGGCGGAATATGCGAGGGTCTCCGTCGCGCTAGCAAACATGCAAAAAAAAAGAAAAATTGGCAAAACAGTCTGAATGGGGCAGACCTTGGTGATTTTTGTCTCCTGGAGGCCAGTTTCAGTACAATTGAAAGTTTTTGTTTTATCTTTTTTTTTCTTGAACCTATGAGGCACACAAAAATAAAATCCCTTTTGTTCACTCACTTGGGACAATGTCAACCGGGCTCATGTTTTTTTGCGGCGCAATACTTGCGTCTGACGGGTTGTTGACCGTCAAAGGCTTTTTATCGGAACACAAAAATAAACCCTTTTTCTCAACTATATTCTCCCATACTAGCCCCCACGTGAAGGTTCCTCAAAGAAAATATCTCCTCGACAATGTTCAAAATATATCATTACAGTCCGTGACCGAATCGTTTGAAACTTTTGTTTTGAGGTGTACACTTAACACATTCTTTCCAAGGTATGAAAGAAAGTAGACTCCAAATAATTCTTCCACAGGCGCATCTCAATAAACTCGAATATCATGGAAAATGTGATCTAGTTCTCTAATTTAATTTAAAAAAAGTGAAATCCATATACTGTAAAGATTCGCTGCACCGAATCTGAACCTCATTATTCAAATTTTGATGACCGTACTTAACGCTGCTCACAAACTGGTTTTGTTTAAATGGCTTCATGCGTTTGGAGAGGTCGCAGCAATCTGGGATCTCGAAGGAGTGACTCCTTTACACCCCTTTCCATTTTTTTCTCCCCCCCCCCCATGCAGACTAACCTTCCCATCTTTAAGCTGAAGGAGTCGAGTGTACGGCGGCGCTACAGTGACTTTGAGTGGCTCAGGGCAGAACTGGAGAGGGAGAGCAAGGTGAGCCCCCCACCCCACCCCACTCCCCGTTTTTATATTGTCACAGCCTCGCCGATGAATACAAATTTGTGTTTAGTTTTCAGCCTTCAGAATTTTTGGAGCACCTCAACCTCCGCACAAGCACCCCAGAAATCGATTTCCAGAGTGTACATTGAATGAAACATTTGTTGTCTTTGTGCCCGTTGAAGTGCTGCGACTAATTTTCCCAGGGCGCGCTTTTCTCTCAGGTTGTTGTGCCACCCCTCCCGGGGAAAGCTCTGATCCGCCAGCTGCCCTTCCGAGGGGACGATGGGATATTTGATGACTCTTTCATCGAGGAGAGGAGACAAGGTCTGGAGCAGTTTCTAAACAAGTAAGCCATCAGCTCAGACGTCACTTGACACCCTGAAACTTCCAAGTTTTTAATATTTCAGATTCTTAAGATGATTACAGAAATAGAATTTTTTAAAAATCATCTCCAATTATTTCATACATTGTATTTCTCATTCTAGAGTGAAAAAAGTGTATGTAGTGACATCATCACGTATATTTTTAATGACACTTATACAGTAGAGAGAGTAGACTGCACCCAGCTGAGTTTGCTGTGTACGGCGGTGCCTTGAGATAAAACTTTAATTCATTCCTAGGCCGTGCGCTGAACTGGGGCCCAGCATTTAAATTTTTTTTTTTTAAATTTTATTAAGCCGTGTTCAATGAACACTTTAAATGGACACCGTCACCGCATGCCACACTAACAGTAAGTCTATCTCTGCAGAGGATAAAGAATAGAGCCCCGTGAGTATTGTAATGTTACCTGTCTACATGTGCAGCGACACCATTTGTTCAAATCTGTTGCTTACCATTCACGAGCACGTTTATGGCGCTTCCCATTATGCGTTAGCCCCAAGCTAAAAGACTTACTTGCAGTGATATGGTTATTTTAAATGCCCAATGTCTACCTGGGTGAGGCCATAAACAAGTTGAAGACTTTTTAATGTTTTCATAAATGTTCACTATGTGCCAAACTGCCCCTCGTTGTCAAGTATGCGGAGTTCATTGCCACAATAGCAGCACCACTTTTTTTTTTTTTTTTCTGGAAGTGGTCAGTTTCCAAATTAGGTATCCTTTTTACAGGACTTGTGAATGGGAGTTTCTGCCTTCTGGACTTTGTTTTTAAAGCTCAAAAAACATCAAAAGCGCCTTCCACCAAGTTCCTTCCAACTTCTCTTACTCGTGTTCTTAGCGCTCACAACCCGACATGTGCCGTCGTCTTTGTCATTTCTAATTACCCAACAGAGCACATTATTTTCCACACATTTGATTCGTTTGTGCTGTTTTAATTTATGATAATTACATCTCAAATTACAGCGTGCGTTTGCACGTGATCTTCTGCATCCTTTTTTTTTCCTCCCCTCAGCTGCCGAACAATAAAAGTTGCAATGCCATTGTAATTATTTACTTTGATTGCAGACTTGGTCGTTATCTTTGTTTCATGTGCAAATGCTTCTTTGCTTCGGTTTAAATGTCAAGTGTGCTTAGACATTTAAAAACTTTTTTTTTTTTTTTTTTTTAAACAATGTGTTGATAATTAAAATTTTGGTGCATGCATTGCAGTCAGTGAAACACTGCCGTTAATGATATCATTGTTCAGAGACTTCACACAGCCGGCTGCTTTGTTCAGTGATTTAGAGCTTTTTGAAGAGGGTATCTTTTGGAATGCGCAGCTTGATTGTCCCGCGAAAACTAGTGCGGAGCAAACTTATTGGTCTCTGCTTCCTTTTCCGCCAAACTTCTTTCGACCCGCCGATGTTTTCACGCTTGTAATTTGTCTTAACTATTTTCCATTCGAGGTTAAGATACGAACATATAATGGCATCATGCCCCCGGGTCTCAGGTGCGCGGCATATTTTCTTGCCGAAGCCCGTGTGTGCGTCATCCGCGGGGACGCACTGAGTCAAGCCTCATGTCAAAGTGGCTTTCGGAAAGAAATTTTAATGGAAGGGGCACAATGACAAATTGATTTTCCCCAAGTCGTATTCCCACGATCGTTACTCGACATTGCTTTTTCGCATCGACTGGTTCTTGAATCCCTTTTGGAAGGATCTCGCTCACCTTCGCTGACGCACAAAACCGATTATCATTTTCCAACCGCGCTCGCGAATGGTTTTGCCCAAAAAGGGCCTCGTGCAGGGGTCTTTAATCCATCTGCTGTGACTTTGAAAAATAAATATGACATTTGAAATAACCTTTTCGTTAAGGGAAATTCCTTTTGGATTCAAATTGACAACGGACTGCATAGGGGTTCTCCTTTTCCTGCCGTTGTGTTCCATGCGCATTGAAGCCTGATGTGTATGTGTGTGTTTTCTCGTGTGTGTTTTCAGAGTGGCCGGTCACCCTCTGGCCCAGAACGAAAAATGCCTGCACATGTTTCTACAGGACGAGTCTGTGGACAAGCACTACACCCCATCCAAAGTCAGACAAGCTTAAAAAAAAAAAAAAGAGAGAGAAAAAAGATAAGAGAAGATGGCGCAACCAACTCGCCGGCCAACCCTCATCGGACTTGGCCCACCCCGCCCTGTCAGCCGTGTTCGGACCACCCTATCCCACTTCACTGCTTCTGATTCTTCTCAGACCAAAAAACACAGATAAACCTACCACCCTCCACCCCCATATGATACGCCGCTCACGGTCCCTTTCAGTTACCTCCTCCCCATCTTATTTCCCCCTTTTAAAAGCGGAGAATGTTGGCAGCATCACGTGGTCTCTCGATGTCTGGAAATGCCACTAACATGAGTGTCGAATTTGTATTTATCACTAGCTACGTCTTGAATATATTCAATTTGTCGTAAGAGGAGACCCATAGCCGATTCCATTGTTGTAAGTTGCTATTGGCATGTCGCACATGAGTGGGCCTTGAAATTTAAAGAACGTCTTTGACCTACCCACCCAAAAGAACAAAAAGTTTGTTTGTGCGTGTGTCCAGCAAACCAGCAGTTGCCCCGTTCTCACCATCGCTTTTCTAGCAAGTTCACTTACACAGAGGGAAATGGCAGTATTTCTATTGCCTATATTCGCATTTTGAGATTTATATACTGCTGTGCCCCCCCTTTTTTTTTTTGGTTTATTTTGAAGATTTTTCAATAAAATAGGTGAAATATCTACTGCATACGTGCATGCATTTTGTTGTTGTTGTTTGCCTCCTGTCAGATGAAGTGCAATGGCCAAAAAAGAGAATTATTCTCTAAATGAGAAGTTAACAACACGACAGTAAACGGTAAACATTTTTGCTTTGCTTTGTTCTTGTTCATTTTAGTTAATTTTATCAACACAAATTGTAGTTTTTTTTCCCCCCCTCAAACAGCGTTCTCATTTCTTAAATGTTTTTTTCCCCGCCAATTTGATTTAGTTTTCATTAACTCTTATAGCGTTGGTCTGCACACGTGTACACAATTGAAGGTGTTTATTTATTTTTTCCTGGGGGGGTTGAGCAATGTGGCAGCACCCGAGATTTTTTAAATAAAAAATATATATCAATTCAATGTCTTTTATTCATCTGGTTTCACCTCTAAATAGTTATAGCTCCCAAATATTTACAACAAAGTCAAATCACCATATCATTCCACAAAACAGCTCCCCAAGTGCTGAATTTTTTTTTTTTTGTCAATCCTTGTTAGTGTCTAACTTTTAAGTTGACCTAAACATTTTAATGTTGTGCTTGGATGCCGACACTGAAATACACACGCACACACACAGCATCTTTAGTTGCATGTCCATTGCGAACCCCCCTCCTTTCCCACAGTTAGTTCCTCTTCATTGTTGGGTTTGTTTGATGTTGATGCTGGATGTGAAGGGGGAGGTGAGTGCACTTTTTTTTTCCTCCAATAGGATTGAACACAGCAATAAAATATTAAATTGGTCATCAAGCTCATTGGTCTCACAAGCACACTTGCAGATATTTTCTCACACGTCGTCTTTGTCAAGTCACTTGGCTTCTTTTGTCCACTCCGGTGCGTCTTTATGGGTCACTCTATTATGGCGGTTACACTAATCCTTTAACTAGAGCCCCTGTTAACAGCCAAGTTGATTGACTTGTTTTCTTAACGTGTGTTCTTTCATACAAATGTGCTCCGGCTAACTACGCCCTGCTGGCTGAGTCTTGATCGGTTCCCTCCCTCCTCTCCCTTCCCCCTCCATGTTCAAGTCTTTTCTTTTTCTCCAAGCAGGCGAGTTGACCGGCGAGGTCATATGTCACTGGATTTGTACATGTCAGAGAGGAGCCTGGTGATGGGCACGTTGCCGATGGTCTTTTTGAAGAACACCTCCTCGATGGTGGACGGGCCGACAGATCGCAGGGACGGCAGGAGCAGAAGCAGCTTGCCGAAACGGCATGGTTGAGTTGGGTATCTGCAACACGTCATTGCACAATTGATATTAGCGATATTTGGATCGAGCCCCCACTCACTCATGTGAATTCAAGAGTGATCGCAGGAAGTAGGTCTGTTTCAAGCTCATCGTAGTTTTTGTTCGTTGATGATTGAATGTTAAAGCCTCTGCAATCCTGCTTTTTATGCCGACACAATACAAATACCGTAGGGCCATTTTTTAAAATTATTCGAATGTGTATATTGTGAGAAATTATTTTGTTACGGAAAAAAATGGGGTTCCGTACATGAACACAAATTCTTAATCTCCAAAATAGCATCAAACTTTGACGTGTGTAACTCTGTGATTCCGCGACATTGGCTAATAGTCTTACCTAGTGTGAATGTAGCTGTTGAGTGTGAGCTGTGCCTCATCTTGTAGTGCGGCAATGGCACTGGCGTTGCGGAAATTTCTCAACTCTGCGCCCCCCTGCGTCGGAACTGTGACCACAAGAGCGGGACTGTTACAATACGAACCTAAAACGGAGGTCAGTTGCGAACTGCACCCGTGCGCTCTCACCGGCTTTGAACGTCACGATACATTTCAAGCACGCGAACTCCGTAGCGTCCAGCCGCATCTGCCGAAACCTAGTGACCACCTCTTGAAGTGCTTGGATCTCGGACATGATCTTGTTCATCCGCTGGGATTCCGTATTTTCGCTGTTCATCCCTGCCGGCGACATGACATTATGACACGGGAAGGCGGCGCGGCACGCGAAGGCCTTATGCAACAACTGCATCTTCGTTACATACCAGAAACGGCAAGTAGAGTCGTTGAGTCCACGGGGATAGCCCACTGCGCGATTCCCAAGACAAACAATTCCCTCCATGCGTCCTCCAACAGAATCAACTGCAAAGATTACCCTTTGTAAGGCCACTGGGCTTACATACATGCACAAGTGGACACCTAGAAGTGATTATGGAAGGCAACACGGGAAAAAAAAATTGCTCCCACCCTTCTGGGGAAGACTTCCAACATGATTTTGGAGACCTTTGTGGAAATGGTTTGCTTTCTCTGGTCAGGCAGTCGGTGTTAGCGCAGACATTAACCCTTTGAGGGACAGCCGTTACTACAGTGGGCATCTTAAGTTATCAGCTTGCAGGGTGCATGACAGGGTTAATTTGGATTTGTTGGTGCCGTGTCCAAAAAAAATTACATTGCCCATTCCGTTGATTTATGTTCACCAAAAGCGATTGTGTTTGACCTCCCGTGGGCCTCCTCTAATCCCAACCCTGCCACCCCCCACCCCCCCACCACTCTTGTTTGCCTTAATTCCCGTCACGCGCGGTTAAACGTACCTGGTCAGATAAGGGGAGCGTGGAGAAGGCGGGCACGCTTTTGGCCCACTTGATGCTCATGAAGAGCAGGCGGGCTGCTGACTCGCATACGGACTCGGTGGCCACCTCATATAGGTACATGGGGGTGGCGCTGACTTCATGGGGGTACTGCAGCAGGGGAGAAACCCGGGATGCGGTCATCACCTTGGAAACAGTCAGACTCATTGTACGCGCCAAAGGTCAAATTCCAAGCCACGGCACCTGCTTTTTAGTGATTAGTGTTGCTTGCGGCGGATTTGCAGCGAGAAATCTAATTGGTGGATTTGTGCCTCTTATGCGCTAAATCAGGACAAGAATTTCAACTTCTAACCCTGCTGGAAAATAAATAATACTCATCTAAATAATAGTACTAACACAAATTTCGACTCAATGTCAAACGTTAAACAAGTTATGGTGTAAGTGTTCGCATACTGGAAATTACATTTGCAAGCAATAAAACATCTAAATCATCTGTAAATTCAATTATGTTAAGTATAGTAGATGTTGGATCTGCGGGCTCACTATTTGGTAAGTTGCAGGGACCTCCTGCTGTTAAGGTCAAACCACAAGTGAGTTTGGTTTTTGTTTTTAATCAAGGAGTTATAAAATATGAAATGTAATCAATCAGCTGTTTATACACGTTTCATACTATTTTAATGTTGTACAAAAAAAAGTTGAAATGTGGGCTCACTTTTTAGCAAAAATGTTCTCACCTTTTGTGCTCTTACCATGGGTTGCAGTTTAAGGGTTCATAAAGTTTTATTGTCATAAAGCTCTTAAAATCAGGTTTTTGGACACAAAAAGTGCAGCAACACGTCAACAACAATACTCGCAGGCATCTATTTTTTTTTTTTTTAATACTCTGCAAAAAACGACAAATATTGCTCCAGAATAGTCAATTACATTCGTTGAGTGAAACACTTTTGTTTGTCTGATTGACGATTAGACTGCATCCTGGTTGCCAAGTCATGATGCACAAACTGTTTAAATGTTTGCATAATAATTATGAAGTTTTCATGGAGACCGACGTTATAGGGTCCTATTTTCCTTATCGTCTCCATTTTCTGTATCTCCATCTCTCTGTCACCGACCCCAGATGCAGTGAGACACGATTCTCTTCAAGGTCTTAGTCGAGTGTTCTTTGTTGGGATAATCAATCGCCGATTAAATCTCAACCGCAATATTGATGTTTAAAAAATAAATAAATACAACACAATTTGATTATTTTTCTAAATCATTCAGCCCTCCTCAAAATACAGCAAGACAGTGGAATTGCTGATACTTTCTGGAGTTATCGGACAATTTGATTAACATTTTTAGCATATAGATGTAAAAAAAAAAAAAAAAAAAAGGGAAGGTTACCTTTGGGGTGGGCTGTGCCAGGCCCACGATGGCCTGCCTCTCTGGTGTGCTGGCCACCGTACTCATATCTAAAGTATGCGGCTCCAGTTGTGTGACGGTGGTGAAGAAGGGGGGGCCTGGTAGAGAGGAGCCCGGGAAATGCGCCGTCGACCCGTTGACCTCTTTGTGACCTCGGAAGTATAAGGCCACTTGTTTTCGGATGGTGGACGTCCGGGGTCCCCGCTCGTGTTGGACAGCTTTAAATAGTACAGCAGAAGTCCAAACAATTCATCAGCAAAAGAATCTGGAAAATGTTAGACGTTGGCGCAATTTTTTTTTAATTATAAAAATCCACATATATATATATATATATATATATATATATATATATATATATACACACACACATATATATTTTTCCGACGTGCAAATATTTGAAGGCCATTTGTGTCCAACTTACATAAAAAAAAAGATAGATGAGTTCATGAAAACTTGTGCCTATTGACTCTATTGTGGTCAATTGAAACCCACCAAAACAGTTTTTTAATGACGAAAAATAGTACCATATTAGCTTCATACTTCATAAAATAATTCAATAGCCTCTAAATTGCTCATGAGTTGATGCAGAGTGTATTTTATTTGTATCATGCAGTCACAAACGAAAGAATTTCACAATTACTGTGACTCTGTAATATTTCTTTTTTTTTTGCAGAGGACAACCAATATATACCCGTTGTCTGTCTACATGTGTTGCTGCACCACCTGTGTTATAAAATGAAATCTCAATTGAAAAATAACACCGTGATGCGATTCGTTAGCCCACCCAAGGCGTTTCCTATTAACATTAAACCAGTGGACTTAGCGGTAACGTTACGCACGTGGTTGGTTTGGTTTAACATGTAATTCTGCTTGGATCATGTTAAGTTTGACAGTAAATTCCAACTTTGATTGGCATTCAACAGCTTGAAGCCCCACATTTCAGCAAAAAGTCAAAGCAAAAATGAGGCGAACAATGGCTCGCAATTCGGGCCCAGTGGCGTGCATAAACGGGGGGCCGACGGGGCAGCAGCTACACCCTCCTTATAAGAAAAAAGTGTGCTGCGATTATGTACGAACTTCATTCTTTAAACCGTCTTCTAACCTTTGCATTGTGCAAACAAGATTGGGGGGGGGGAAATCATACTGACAAGTACTGATGTAAAAATGTTTTTAGATTTTTTTTGGGGGGGGGTCTTACAAATAACTAGCATAGTAAAATCTAAGAAACCCTGTGCTTGATAATTTAAAAATACTGTATATATTTACCGTCTTTATTCATGTTGACTTCCAGGCACTTTTTCAAGCGGCAAGCTCTGCATTGGTTCCTGTGAGTTTTGTCCACAGGACACCCACCCTACACGGGTACACACACACACACACACACGGAAAAGCGTGTTAGCGTATAATAGCTGCAACGCTCCTATCCTTACTATTATCTTCCCAGGAGACCAATTTCCAGGTGCTATCATCATCACGCATTTATCGACCCCCTCAATGCAGCCTTATTGCAAGAGGGTGGGGGGGGAGTAAGTAGTATCCCGCCCCCTACTCCTTGAATCCTCGCTTTCAACACATTAGATTGGATTACACCTGATAAATTACAACGCACCGGCGCGTTGAGCCATTGAAACCCTGCCAGCGTGATGCGTTCAAATAAAGCTGGGAATCGGCGCTAACTCGGTGAAAATGTCTCGCAAAGGCGCGTAGAGTGGTGAAAAGGGGACATAAGTGGTGCTGCTAACCTGAGAGCCAGACTTGCACACGTAGGTTCTGTTTCGGCGAATGCTCCTCTTAAAGAAGCCCGAACAGCCGTCGCAGGCGTAGACCCCGTAGTGCTTGCCGGAGCTGCGGTCCCCGCACACTTTGCACGGAATGTCTAAAATGCGACCTGCAGTGGGAATTCGGTCATTAAAAAGTTATGTCGGAAACAACGAAGTCAAGTAATGTTTCAAAACATTTTTTTTAATATTGAAACTATGTATCGGACATGTAAAAGTCATTACGCGGCCACAGATATTTTTCCCTTTTTTCGGATTTTGTGCTGTTTTTTTAACCTATCATCTTCTGCTGTCTGAGACGTTCGTTCGTTTAACCATTACTTTAGTGACTTTTTAAAATTTGTAACAGTAAAAATCATCATAGTCGTATCACTAGTGCTATTTAATGTATTACATTATATTCAACTCTCTTTTTAATGCAGCAGTTCGTTGTCATTTAAGTTACTCGTATTGAAATCCATATGCCATTATAATTAACTTTTTGTTACATGAATACATTTTTGCCATTAAGGAAAAATCCATCCACCAATCCATTTTTTTACCCTTAGGGTTTCCTTAATGTTTAAATCAAATCATTATCCATAATTATTGGGAAAATCCCAGTCTATTTTCATGCATGTGTATGTATGTAATCTGTTTCTCTTACATGATGATGATTTTTACACATTATAATGTGATTATGTCTTGTCAATCGTATCTTGTTTTTCATTTAACATTCATCATTTTAGTCACTTTTTCATGCTTAAAGTTACTCCCTGCATTAGTTTCATTGTAATTGTGAGTAAAAAGTTGGACTTTGCATTGATGGATGGAGTGCAAAAACAGTATAACGTCTGTCTGTCGAGCACTACTTACGAAATGTTTCGCCAAATTCTTCTTTATCATTATGTACTCTATTGCGTCATAATGTGCTCCAACTTTGGGGGTGGGTGGAAATCAACATTTGAGTCAAGTTTTATATCACTCAAATCTCACTTGATTTTTACTTTTCCAATGTTTGATCCTAATCCGCATATTCGTCACATTTATATAATGATTTTTTTTTTGCATTTTTTTTACGCCTTTGGGTGTAGGGGGGGGGTTACAAATTGATTTTCTCTCTCTCTCTGTCTCTCTCCCCCCTCTCTCTATCTCTTTCTCTCTCTCCTCTCAGTGGACAGTGGCCCTTCGACCATGGGAATTCCGTTTTTTTTTCTCCAAAATAAAGGTGTGTGTGCAAGCGATATAACCGGACCCTGTAAAACAATGCGGGAGGCGGGGGGGGGGGGGGGGGTCACAATGGCGACATTAGCGGGGGAGAAAGTGTTAACTTAATGATTTGGTCCCATTGAAGCCGGTCTGACTGGCCGCATCTCGACAAGCTGCCAACTCGGCCTCATAATGGGACTCGACAGCTGCTTTATCCGGCAGGTCTTTTTGGCCTCGGGATTAGGCAGTGACACCGCGCCACCGCAATCAACTCGTTTCGCCAAACTCCAATCAAGTGTAGGCAAACGGACTCCCGCGTTTGATAGGGAATTGGGTGGGGGAAGTGAAGATTTTTTTTTTTTTTTTGGGGGGGGGTATTCAAATCTACAGGGGGAAAAAAACAGCGTGTGTAGGGATGGGGTGGATGGTGGGGGCGCCTCTGTAATTACACTGACGTTTAGCCACCTGCTCGCTGATTCACCAGTGACCCGTCCAAAAAGGTAGCATGGGAATAAGGAGCTGCAAAATAATCATAATCATAAATACAAGGACGCCTGATGCTCATCAATATTAGAAACCCTTCGTTTGTTATTATTATTATTATTATTTATTGATTTTATTTTTTGGGGTTCTGACCCTGTTCATGACCGACTTGGATGGATGAAAAGTGACGGAAACACCCGTCAACTTTCGGAAAGGGGAAATGAACGCTAATCAAATAAAAACGGCACGAGTCAAGTTGATTCTCCTAATTTCGATTTTTTTTTTTTTTTTTTAAAGACCCATCACTAATTATTGTATACACGTCCGGGACGGAATACTGCAGCGTTAAATGAATTCGACACTGTGGTGTGACGTAATTGCAACAAGAGACAAACACGATGTGTTATTCTAAATTGTACATTTACTTTATATTTTAAAATGTTGAGGATAAGGAGTTTTTTAGATTGGGGGGTGACTGGACATTAATAATGCATATTTGGATGAGATAAGTGGATTCAAATGTAATTTTCAATTAGTTTACAGTGATTTAATTGGGATTAATTACAAGGCCGGTGAGAGAGGAATTTAATTTAGTCTGTTTATGCAGTTGATGGAATTATATTTTTTGGGTGTGTATCCAAAATAAGTCCCGACATTTTCACCAAAACACACAAAAAAAAAAACCCACGACAGTTTGAAAGTGATGAAATCAAGAGAAGACTAGAAAGAAAACACCTTTCATTGCTTAACTTGTTCTTAGGGACAATATAGAGAAAATTAGCACATTGCATTTCAATGAAATGTAATTCAATACATAAAACGGCGTTATGACGCATTCCCTCCCCCGAAAACGCGTTTTATTGCGCAGCAAACGAATTCAAATGGATGATGGAGTGTAACTTTCAAGTACATTTTTTTTTTCATTTTTACATGCTTAATTTACAGTTTTTTTCTTATGGAAAAGTGCCACTTACTTGACTTGACACTGAGAATATCCAAACAGCCACTTGTTGAGCCGGCAGGTTTACTCATCGTAGATGCTCAAATGATGAAAAGTTCAGACTGGAAAACGTCCCTTCAAAATATATATATATGTAATATAAATACTTGACTTGATCTTGCTCTTGTTTCTTTCAGTCGACCCCGCCAAACTTCCACAATGAATCCGCGCTCAGCACGCACGGCAGCGCATGGTCCCGATTCCGAGTCCGGTCGACCGGCGAACCGGACCGATTTGCAGCCCGGCGAAGGTGACCTGTCGGCGGCTGCGGTCGGTGCGCAACAGGCGTCAAGTTTGGAGGCCGTCTACAGGCAAAAAAAAAAAAAAAAAAAACACGAAATGCTTTTGTTGTTGTTGTTGTTTTGAGGGGGCAGTTGGACCGGCCGGCACCGAACTGAGGATTGGTGAGTGTTGAGTCTTTGGCGGTAGGTGTGACTTTGTGCTGCGACTTGGCCCGAATATATCAAGCCTGCTAATATTTCGCACAAGTGTCAAGGGGGGAGGCTGGAGGGTGGAGATCTCCACTTCCTTCATCCACTTGGCTTTCCACGCCAAACTCCACCATGACATCACTCTCTCTCTCTCTCTCTCTCTCTCTCTCTCTCTCTCTCTCTCTCTCTCTCTCTCTCTCTCTCTCTCTCTCTCTCTCTCTCTCTCCCTCCCATTCATTGATCCCAAGGCACTGCCCACAAGCCACTCCAGTATTTTTTCCCCTTTCTTTGCAACTTAGTAAACGCCACAAAAAAAATCTTCAGAACCACCATCTTTCACTTTTTAAAAGACCTGAGGGAACATGCAACTGTCCTCTCTATTACAATACATCTTACGTGTGCTAACGGGGGAAGGGTGTTGCAGAAATTGGTTTTAATGGAGCACCATTTTGCATAAAAATAGACATAGCATCATGCAGATAATGTTTTAAGACATTTCTCTTACTATTGGGTTATTAAATGGTGTATTTTCAATTCATTTGTAATTCAGTAAACGCTACACTATAAAAGGTGCGAAAAAAGCTCATGGTTGAACTGAAAATGAAATGAAAGGCATATGTAGACAAGACTATGCTGAAGAATTTTCTTGTTACACTGTAACTTGAATGAGCTTAAACTTTCAGGCGACAAACTTTGCTGACATTTTAAGTCGGGCACTTGAACTCATTGTTTTTTAAGTTTTGCTGTTGTGAAGATTGCCTTTCCTGCTTGCATTTCACAACAACAACAAAAAAAATAAGTGCAGAAGGATGTCCCAATGGAACCTCAACTTCAAGCTTTGCTTGTTTTGTTCAGGTAACTAACATTGTTGCCATAATGTCAGTCGTGTTTTTTTTTCAAAACGTTTTTCCAACCTAAATTACTGTAAGGTGAAAAAAAAATAGATTTTGTTTTACACTGCATGTGATGAGAAATATATGGAAAAGCAAGCATCGTGTTTTGTCCGTATTTTAAATTTAGCAAAGTTTATTTTTTCATTTCAGTCCTTCACAAAAATCACAAATGTACATGAATTTCAATGCACCAACGAAATCATGTTTTTTCCTCATTGCTTGTTACAGTCCATTGAAAAGCAGCTTTTCTAGAAAAAAATGTCCACTATATATATATATATATATATATATATATATATATATTTAAAAACACAATGTTTTTCAACGCAACTATGACATTCTTCTGTTTCTTGAAATTATACTTTATTCATGCGACGTGCACTTCTTGACTTTTTTTTTAGCTCACTACTACTGCATGCATTGAAAGTTGAAACAGCACGCTCCCCTCCCATCCAAGCCACTGTGGACACCGGGGTCCTCTCCTTTTTTTTCCTGACACCCTGACCTTGACAGCTTGCTGCGCTTTCCCCGGGTAACTCCAAATCCATATTCCGTTTTTAATTGTCCTTCTTCCCACGGTGCGCCCGGGGCCATATGGCCGCACAAAGTGTCGATTTAAGCGGCCATTGGGCGAGGCGGGGAGGCGTGTTTAATTGCAATTAACCATTGTGTCTTTTGGTGTCTCCCAACCTGCAGCTTTGACGCGCGGGATGAATTCAACTCTCAACTCGGAATTCGCGTGCCTTTGATTTTTGGAGGCCTCGGCGGTGACAAAGCGGGCCACGACATCAGGTACACCTGCGCTGACTAATGAGAGTGATCAGTTCAAAAGATTAAAAAAAAAAAAAAAGTTAGACTTTGTCCAAAACATGAAGCACGGCCAATGATGTCTGACGCAATGCGGCTTCTGAGCCAGTTTCAATTTGTCCAGTGAGAAATCAAAACGTCAGACAGATTTGTAGTACCTGTTAGAATCTTTCCTATAAACTGACCAATATTTAAGTTTAAAGCAGTATTTTATTTTGGGACCATTTATTTGGAAAATTAATCCTTTTGGGGCCCTTAAATGGACGCCTGACTACAAGCAGCATAAAAAAAATAAAATAACGGTGCCCTGGAATTTGGAGCTCGCCCATCTATTTTTTTTACACAGTTTAATTTTTTTAGGTGAATTCGCCAGCCTTCCCAAATATTGAAAATATTAAAAACAAAATGTTGCCAATTAAAAGGCCATGACGCTTTATTGTTATTCATCGAGCCAATTGGCAACACACTATAAACAGTGATATGAGATTATTTTTTTTAATGGTTGTTTATTTATTTACAATATATTTAATGTTACAATGATGACGTGTAATTTATATGTGAGGTGGCCATGTTCCGGTGAGTTGACTTTCGACTGCGCGCTTTGACCCGTTTGGAAGTGCGCGATGATGCGCGCGAGCGCGGACCTGCCCCGCGTGCGCGCGTGTGCGTGGGTGGCTGCCGGCCGGCGGCTGAATGGCGAATGTTTGACATAATCTCCTTAACGCGTCCTAATCCTCGTCATTCACTGATAGCCTTTACACAAATATAACCAACATCGCGGTTGCCCGGGTTGCCTTCTTTCACTTTGTCTCGCTCGCTCTTCCACGAGTGACAATCTTCTCTTCGGACACTCAATGAAATGTTGCCAGCAACAAAAGAAGCAGTCGATGGTGTATCTTTTTTTTTTTTTTTTTTTTTTTTACACCGGGAG